TTCCTTTTCACATTATAATGAGCCGCTTAACAATTCCGATTTTATTAAGAACCCTCCCAGAAGGGGTGGGTCGGCTTTCGCTCGAGTGGAACGAAGGGAGGGTGGTACCGAAACGGAAGGGCCTCGCGCGTCCGGATTATGACAGTTGAAAAAGGAAAACGTAGACTTAGACAAGAAGGATTTACGATAGAGATTGTTCTCGAATCGAGCAAACTTTTTTCCTCTTTATTTGAAATTTATCGTTCTGGATCCACTGAGAGCGACAAATATTTTAAACGCGTGCAGACGGTGAATCGACGTCTAAAAGGCACGACACCGACCAGTGAAGACGCCTCTTAGACAGGATTCGATACATATCAAATGTTTCTATAACGAATCGAATAAATGTTACTTCAACTATTGCGTTACTTTTTGTTTCGAAAAATCTCTCTTCTCCGCGTGCCAGGAAATATTGGTCGCGAGTTATCCAAGCTTCTCTAAAGCGCATATTGTCACGAATAACGAAACGAATCCCACCGAAATTACCCACTTTTTCGAACCGTTATCGTCGACGATGTATCTTTATTTATGGTCGCTGAATGTTAATGTCTTTCGATGCCCGCATAACGGAAACAAAATGGAAATCCCGGACATGAACGGTTTTTGTTAAGCTGCTGTGCGTTTCAATAATTGACGGAGATAAGGTTAGAATTGTGCTCGTTGGTAAACACGAAACGCGAATTTCGAGTTATGTTATCCGATACAGCACACGGGAATTACACATGAACATAAATTTCTAACGAAAAAATATTCTAATAAATATAGTCTGATGTAACGCGTCTAGAAAAATTTGTCCGCTGTAAAGAATGACCGGTAGCCGAAGGGAACAGGATCGTAGTAAATACTTTCGTCGTTACGTAATCACGATAAACAACGTTACCTTAATGAAAGTCCATTTCAAGTTTAATTAAAGAGCTCGAGTAACGAAGGAAAAAATGCTTAGTGGGCAGGTTTAATTAAAGAGTTCCAAACGCGGAAGGCTCATCGAGAGGCAGATAAATACGGTACAAATAAAATGAGGGCAACCGGGAACACGGGAAACGGTACGCGTAAATCAACCACGACGCTTTGTCATGTGAAGATTAATAAACCACTATTTCGAAAAACCTTATCACTTTAGCGAAGTGATACGTTTCAATCGGGATGACGCGAAAGCCAGCGTTCAATCGGAACTTTCGTACAGGGGAAAACTACGTAACAAGCGCTGAAGGGTGTTAGATTTACGACGACTCGATCGAAAACATTGATTTACACGAGTCACGCGCGACGAAGTGTAAAATTGAAGATACGTGTACAGAGGATAATACATTTTAAAACGTAGATAAGTCTTGGCGAAACGAAATCTAAGCTAACAAACTGGAAGGAACATAGGAGGTACCAGGCTCAGCTATGAGAACTTAAAGGGTACTAGGTTCAGCTATGGGGGCCTGCAGGGTAATAAACTCAGCTACGGCGACCTAGAATGTACTGAGCTCAGCTACGAGGAGCTTAGAAGGTACTGAACTAAGCTACAGGAGGCTTAGAAAGTACTGAGCTGAGCTACGAAGACCTAGAAGTTACTGAGCTCAGCTTCGAGATCCTAGAAAGTACTGAACTAAGCTAGGGGGGCTTGGAAAGTACTGAACTCAGCTACGAGGAGCCTAAAAGGTACTGATCTTAGCTACGGGGGGCCTAGAAAATACTGAGCTAAGCTACAGGGGGCCTAGAAAATACTGAGCTAAGCTACAGGAGGCTTAGAAAGTATTGAGCACAGCTACGGAGGCCTAGAAGTTACTGAGCTCAGCTCCGGGATCCTAGAAACTACTGAACTCAGCTAGGAGACCCTAGAAAGTACCGAGCTCAACCACGAGCGACCTAGAAGGTACCGAGGTCAGCTACGGGGGCCTATCCCATCTCTAAAATATCGATCCACGCGCGACAAAGTGCAAAATCGTCCAAAGACATATATTCAGTATTTCGGCTGGAAGGGGCCGAGAGTAACACGTCTGTCGATAACTCCATTAGGAAGCCAGGGGTACGTTGCGAGAAGAAAGGGCACGATATCGCTGGGAAAATGCGCGTTCGATTGGTCGATCGCCGTGACGGTAACCAGACGGTGTCTCCGAAAACGCGGACCCAATAAATTGTCAGCGTCGGTAATCTTCCCGGGAAGTTTTCCGATATTTCACGCTGGTAACTGGTAAATCGTGCAGGCCGTGAAATTGGGAGAATCCGGAGGCCGTTGTCGAGTGCCGCGATCGATTAGATATCCTCCCGTGAACTCCGTCGGATTACAAGCCCTGATCGAAAGAAGGTCGCGCGGGGTCGCAATTCGAGAGGGAGACGAAACGATTAGGTGACGCGGGGAGAGTCTCTTATGCGGGCGGTACAGGTTGACCTTACACGCCTATGGTAATTGGAGGTGGTGCTTGAGGTAACTATGGGGCACCAAGCAAATTACATGTTCATTTGTGATAATGTCGACTTCCAAGGATCGTGTGAAAGTGTAGAACAAGGACTCCCCGCTCGATAATTTTAGATAGGAGAATAGGAGCGAATTTTGTTAGCCTGTAGGACTGTCTAATACCAACGCGAAAGTATATAATCAACGGTACGTATAGTAACAGTAGCGAAAAAGGTTACAGGAATGACCGAATCTAGATTTTCGCAAGAACCACTCAATTATTATTATTAAGGCCGATCGCACACGGGCGCAACCGATCGGTTTCAAACCACTCTGAAACTAATTGCACGCGACCGTGGATCTAGATAAAACAAAGATAGTGGAGTAGACGTAAAAAATAGCGCGAACGGTTTGCAACAGTACTTTCAAATCGGTTGCGCCCGTGTGCGATCGGCCTTAGGCATCGACAGAGAAATCTAACATGCGTAATAATTCCAAGTCAACGCGTCTTTCAACTAACGCGTCGATACAGAAGCCTCGCATAAGCAACAATTCCCAACCAAAAGATTCCTAGCCGAATAATGGCCTCCAGAAATAAGGAACAGAGTCCAAAGAGGGGTCCACGCGAAGTTCGCTAAAACCAACTCGTGGAAGGGGACGAAGAGCAAATTGCTTGGGTAAAGGAGAAACGAGGACGGAAGTGACGCGATCGTTGTCAAACCCATTGTCCTGGCTTTGGCGGGCGCAGTCAAACGTCGGGGCCAGGCCATTTAGGCTCATCCGCTTTAATTGGCTTCGTTTGTAATTACGGCAGAGGAGACGGCGAGGGCTGGTGCGAGAGGAGCGGTAACGGGGGTGGAGACAATAAGAAGAAGGGAAACAAGGGGACGCGGACGCGCCACGAAATACCCCGAATACTGCACGTTGACATGGATTGTGGCCTGAAGAGATCGCGGAAGTGGGTTAGAGGAGTGCAGCCATTGTGAGTGGTCCTTCCAGTACGGCAAGACTTTATAGGAGTTTGTCGGATGAAACAAAAGCGCGTCTTTCCGTTTTTTCTATTTTTTTTGTTCTGTGTATATTCTGGTCCGAGCGATTGTCTCGTAACGAATTTTGACTAGAGTATACGCGGATATTCGCTCGAAATACCGTGGCTACCGTGGAGATGTTATAGACGGAGCAGGACAGACGCTGGCCTGACTCTACGTGGAAATGTCCCGCTATTAGAAAGAGAAAAACAACCGTGGTGCTCTATCCAGAGGCACGATCATTTTGAACCATTCGTATTTTCGCAAAGTTTCACAGAAATCGTTCGTACTTTTCGTCGATCACTTATGCTGACTCTTATCCATAGAAAATGACAAGTTTCACGTTTGTCCAAACCTTCTAATTAACTTTAGTAAACTTTAGTAAACTTTAGTTCGCTTATTAAAGCATTACGTCGGTACCACGGTTTTCTTTCTCTTTTTAGCTGCAGCGCTCCCCTATTCTATTTACATCAAGTATCTCCATATATTACGCTATTTCAGAAGGTAATGGAACAATTTCCGCCAATTTGGACGCTCGTGGTACTGGTCAAACGACTCGCAAAGAAACGAGTGGGAACGAGAGGTCGTTATGAATTATATCTGGGATTTGATGAGACCGTAACGACCCTCGCTTATGTTCGCGATAAAAAAGCAATGATCGCTCATGCATGAAATTTATAATTTGGATAGTTAATAGGACGCCGGGTCGTGACGTTTTTACATGGACGGTTTCACCGTGTTTCCGCGAGAATAATCCCTACGAGCAACATTGTGTTGGTCAGACACAGTAAATGAACATAATGTGTAGCTAAATGCACGGGAATTTATGAAATTTGCATTTATCGCATATAAATGCGGGGGAGTTTGTTACGTCGGGCTGGTTTTAAACGAACATTTTTCGAGCAGGTATTCGTTTCCGTAATAATCACGGTGGGAAGAAGTTAATCGTTCCAAGATGAACAGAGAAAAAGCAACGCGATTCCTGTTGTAAAAATTGCGATGCTATTTAATCGATGGAAATACTTGGCGTTGGAAGAGCGTTTCTTGTTCCGATCGACGACGCGTCGGGTAGAGAATGTTCGATCAATTAATTCTGCCTCGGTTCTTCCTCAACCACGGTACAAATTATGGAAGTTTCTATGTATATTTAACGAAGACTTCCTCTTACTTCGCGTATCTCACCGACCTGTTAACACGTACGCGACCGACAGATACTTTACCGACGAAAATAATAAAGTTTTCAAGCTGGATATCGCAAATTTGTATCGTTAGGGCGAAGACAAAAATTACAAAATATATTTTGAAATATCAATGTTGTAAATATGTAGCGTATAAAATGAAAAGGTTGTTATCATTTGGAATAGATACCAGGAATAGAATCAGTTAACATAGAGTACGAGACACATGTTATGTGTTCAATTATAATCTGGATTGTTCGGATACTAAATACAAGCTAGTAATCATCATCGCTAGTATCACAACCATGATTTGCAACCAGCGTGAGCTTTCGATATCAGACATAACATTTTGAATGTTTGAGAATCATTTACATTTTTGGAGTTTGTCCCCTGGTGTCGTTGACGCAGCCTTCACCAACCAGTAATATCTGCAGAACCCAATATCACCCTTATAGTCTTCAGGCACAGGTACTGGTCCCTGGAACAAATAAAACGGAAAAATAAATACCATATTGGACATCTGAGAATTTAAACAAAAATACGTGATAGATAAAATTGTATATCACTTACATTCATGTGGATACCGGACTCGAAGGTTGTCCATGTAGTCCTCTGTACAGATTCCCTTCCTTCTGGTCAATCTGTGGGTACAACCATTAATTGTTTTAACTGTAGAATTTGTTGCACTCGCGAATGAAAATACAAGAAACGATAGAACGATGTATAAATGTGTAAACTATGAACCACGACCCGTAGACATGTCACGGTAACGAACGTCCCAAGGTGACTGACAAAGGACAGAGTCGTCGAACGCGATTAACTGATATCGCTCCGCAAAGTCCGCCTTTCAGACCCGAGTATACGAATTTCATTGGTTTTTGCTTTCCACGGTCCGCGCAAGAAAAATAGTCCCAGAAATTCCGATAAGAACGTAGTAACGCGTTCTTATACGAAAAGAGTCGTTTAAAGCCACGCGTCACGGGCCACAGGGATTTTGCAAATACACTGAATGTTACTTTGAAGGATACCCCAGGGGTTGCTCCCTCTCTTCCTCTCCCACACGAATTTTCACGAATCGCGACCTTTTCCCTACCAACACTCGCATTCCAAACAGCAAAAACCACCGAACCGTATTATTCTCGCCTCCTGCTCTCTGTTCGATTGTAAACAAACATTATACGATATGACGAAATACGATATCGCGGACAACGACTCTGTTCCCTTTATTTAATAATGTGTGTAACCGTATACGATAGTTATTTTACTCAAAGTTCTTCTTAAATAAAACGATATATCCACTCTTTCTTCTGTCTTTCTTCTACTTTGTCTTACATGACTCTGATAGTTTTCATTCGAACTTTTAATACATTGCCTGTACGATATAATACATTACATGGGCTAGCACGATATTGTTTCAATAATTATAATAAATGAGAACACGTTGCCAAATATTTTCGCTCTCGTCGTTGTTCTATATTGGATTTACATATTTATACAAACGTCGAAGCAATAACAACATTTGAAAATGTTTGTCAATGTTGGATGGACAGTGGTAGCATTGAATAGTTGAAACCAATTTCGAGAACCCTCTAAGACCATCGTGAGGCTTCCCCACAGGAACACGTCGAAGCGTAAACCGTGTACACCAGTGGCAAACCCGCACGTCTCGGAAACCGCACCGCCGTCGTCCCTTCAATCAGTCGGGCCAATTCCGCGCCTTTCGGACCGATTCCAAGCAAACTCCGAGCGAAATTTCAACGTCCTCATTGAGAAGACCCACTTCAGTCGTCGCAGGGTAAGCGCGTATCGTGCGGCGTTTCCGGACGAGCGGAATCCGTCGCTTTGCATTCATAGCCCGGCTCCTGCCCAAGAACCGATCCGCCCATTTCTCCTCGCGATCGCACGGAACCACGTACACAAAAGGGACACTCTGGTTCTCGCGCAACAAGTTTCGAAGCGGTTCGCATTAACCCGTCACCGACGGACCTCGGTATACACGGTATAGACACCAGTTTCCTCGCGTGTCGGAACGTCTATACAGGGACACGTGGCACAGAAACCCTTTTGTATGGCCAGCTACAACGGCTACGTTCGGTTTCGACGTACACACCGGGTGATCCGGGAACAGGGCTATATTTTCCCTTGAAGCGAACCAGCCAGGGAATTTATCGAGGTAGACGGTCCGTGATTTAACATCGAATATACGTACATCTCGGATAAGTCGGTACGATCTCTGTTTCGCTTCTGGACAATTCGTGACACTACTTATACGAGCAAATTGTAATTGTACGTACAATGGTAACTTGAGGAGAGGCGTACAATCTTGTGGTTAATTAATGTTTGAGCCATAGGAGGACGAGAAAATGGCGTCGTAGGTCTGTAGGATCTACACACCGGAAAATATTAATTTTTTAATTGAATTCAGGAAAGGGCTTGAAATTACTTGACCCATTTATGGGCAGGATTCATTTTTCTGCAGCCAACTCGCGAGTATTATTGGTTATCAGAGAGATTATATAATTAAGACGTGTAACGTTTCGACGCCGTTAATTTTGCTAAAATGAAACTCCGTGTTTTGCAAATTCGAAACATTTGTGAAGAATTCTATAGATTTTGATGCTGCTTGTGGATTATAGTCTTCAAAGGAACGTTTTTCGACAACCACCACATGGTTCCACGTGTGACCAAGACACACCTTCGGCCACTTCCTGGCAGAAAAGTTGGACACGCACGTTGAATCGGGGAAGAGGATTCGTGGGAAAAGTCGTGCATGCGTGGCGGTTCAGATTTGCATGGAAGGAAGGTTGTATTGTTGATTTCTGGAAGGCAGTCGGCGAAACGCATGATAATTCTCGGTAGAATTTCTGGTCTGAATTGGATCTCTGTGGGCGCACCGGATCGCCATGTTCGCTTCCTCGACAGGATATATTGCGTTAAATTATTATTGAATTAAATTGCAAAACAAAAATTGTCCACAAGAGATAAATATTTAGCTGTCGAATGAATGAATACTACGAATGAATTGCTATACACCGGTTTCATTCGCGGTCCGTCGTTCGAATAAAATGTTGCCAATCTCCGTCGTAATGTAATCGAAACGCTCGCTGAAATCCTCGCTTAGAAATTTTTCTATGCTACGGTTAATAGGAATGTAAGAGAAAGTAAACAGAAATGTGGGTCGCCCCACCCCGGGAGAGGATAGCTTTCGCATTTAATTCTAGCGCGAATAAAGGTTTCGGTTTACTTTAATCAGCTGAAACATCAGACTTCCCGATGTCGGTGATCCTTACGCGAATATTATTCACCGCGACGATGGGAAAATATGCATCGACGTAAAAATGAACTATCACCGTAATCCGACACGCGATAATCAGCGCTGAAATATTGGTACTTTGTTTAGATTTCATTACCGTCGATGTTGGAACGAACGAGCCGAAGGACTATGCTCGGAATACGAAATCCCTGGATCGATAATCGTTTTATTTGGTCGAGTGCCAACGCTCTTCCCGGCAGAATCTTTTTCCGTTTTCTAATCTCAGTTGGGAGCAAACATAGAAAACGAGCTTATGTTAGCATCGTGTTTGGCAATTGCACTTATCGTTGTATCGAAACTAATTTCTTTGGCCTAAAATGGCATACAATCGTCAGCTTTTCCCAGCTTGAAACACTTTAAAGTCTTTCCCTTTCTGGCAAGAACAGTGTGAAATAATACACCGTTATTTTCCCCAGAGAAAGAGGAAAGAAAGAATTCGCGAGTTCATAAAACTTTATTCTGGGAAAACGCTAACTTCGATTAGCGATATCTCTCTCTTCTTCTCTTTCTCTGCTTTGGGCGAATTAAAATTCTGTTTATTTCCTGGCCTGGGATTAGTCGTTTCTCTCTATCCGACGAACTTATCGTCCTACGATTGTACGCAGCGTGAAAATTACAGTTCATCAGGGTCGTTAATTATTCAATTCATTAACGGGGAGTCCATTAATCACCCACGCAACAACACATTACGTTCGCAAGATGTAAATTATATACCTGTCGCCCATTGTGTCGATTAAAATTTCGACGGAAACTTTGTCCATAAATTTTCGTTTGCCAGGGACCCAATTAACCCCGAAAACCGTATTAACGTTTTCAAATAACAGCCGATGGTCGTTACTTTATCAGAAATAAACAAACTCATTGATTCATATTTGTGGCGGCGTCCTGCTGAATTTTAGTTACAATATTAACCCATGTTTAAATAGCCGGATTAATTACGCGATGGAACCATCTGCCTAAGATACACTGTGCGATATTCTTAGGAATTTCAGATATATATTCCGATCTATATCTGTCACCTGATACAATATCGTCGACATACCTGACGCTGTGTCTGTCACTTAACGTTCTCACCGTTTACCATAACTAACCATCGATCCTTGGTAACGATTGGAGCTTCTATTTCTTCAAATTACATAGTCTATATTTTCTATCGAAGCGTAAAGTGCGAATACTTGAAATTTCACCGAGTTTGGTCGAGGAGACAGAGGTTAGTGGTTACAGCGAGCCACTGTTTGTGTACATGCATTCTCTCGTCGCGATAACAAAAGGTCGTACCGCGTTCGAGGAATTCGCGAGTGGGGGGTAATGAGGAGGCACGCTTCGCCACGCAATAACATCGACACTCGAGAAGGAAAGGAACAACAGACATTCACCGACTCGAACGTCGAAGCAGCGTTCGGTCGATCGCCTTAAAAAAAAAAACCTCGTACCGTACAACACGGGTTGAAATTAATCCAAGGCATCGGAACGGAAAGAAGAGTGTATCAGAGGACGGAAGTGCATCATTCTCAATGGTTTCCCTCGTCGAGGGTCGGCAGCTGGGAGCACCTTTCCCACCGCCCTCTTCCCGCTCTGATACAGGGTGTTCAAAAACCGGTCAATATTTACATGGCATGTAGGACACGCTTTACCGAGTAAAATCGCTTTAGTAAACATAGGTCGAAATCGTCTGAGACGTAAACATTCGATACTGTAAAAACAAGATGCCAAGCGAGCGTAGAAATGGAAGGCGGGCACGTGGAAAATCTTCCGTAAACATCGAAAATTCGGTAGTAAAGTCAATTATGATAATAACAAAGAAAAATGTTTACATCTCAGAAACGATTGGCCTCTCTACGTTTATCGAAGCTTTTTTACTCGGTACAGTGTGTCCTATGTACCATATAAATATTGAATAGTTTTTTTTTGAACAGCCTGTATAACCACGTGAATCGAGCACGTGGAACAGAGATGCTGTCTTCTCCCCTTTCTTTCCTCCCCTCGTAGTATTGCCCCCTTCCCCGTACTTTCGAATTCTCCCGTCCTATCGGTTTCTTCCTATCGTCTCCTACTCCCTTAATCGTCCCTCCTCACCTCGTGCTCCCCTCCTGTCGTTTTCATTGTCCCTAACGCCGTCCTTGTCTGGTGAATGGCCGACGTACGACGTACAGCACGGTCAACAGGTAGAGAGACGGACAGGTGGCCGAACGATATATTCATGATGTCGGACGCTACACGACAATCCTGCAGGCCCGGCCAGTGCTCGCGATGTCTCCCTACTCGCCGCAGTTCGGGCATTAGGCTCGCCGGTCTGCAAACCTTTCGGATGTTTTAGCCGCGACTGGTGCCTCGGTAACACGTGGGTTTTCTCGTTAGCGACGGTGCGGTTGCTCCTTTCGGAGTCAACGACTGAATTTTACATCTGTGGACGTGTGTCAAAGGAGTGTTCAGTGACGTGCGAAGAAATATTTCGGAAAGGTTCTTGCAGAAGTGATCGAGGTTTAGGTTCGCGTCTTCGTAAGTCGTGCGACGAATCGAAGTTTGTTTATTTCTGGTGATAGTCGTATACGAGATACCAATTTTCGAGATTTTACTTCAAACTTTGTGCCTTGTTGCTTCATAGTAAAAAAATCATTTTTGAATGTCACCATCGTATAAAATGTTCCAGTGCTTGGTGTTTCAGAGTGTTTAGTGTGGTTGGAGGGTTTAACCCCGAGGGATTCGTGTCCACCAGTGTCCTTGGTAACTGTGGCAGTGGAACAACGTGCGATTGGGGAGCCTCTCGCAAAGATCGAATTCCTTTGTGTCTTATCGACGTCGAAAGAGGTGAGTGGCAGTCGACATTTATGTCAAGTGTTTTGGAGTCTGAATGAACGAGCGGAGGGACTCGCACGGGCAAGGTAGGCCATTGTTGGGCATTGTTAGACCCCAGGTCTCGATGCTCGATCAACGTCGACGTTAATATTCCGTCGGTGTGCTGATTGCGTCACGTACGCCGTTACTCAGAAGTCTGGAATCGCGCACGGCTATCGAACAAAATTCGTAATTTGTCATTCAACGTGCGGGATCGGAACATGTTGGCTGGGTAGAGTCGAAGAGAGATTACGTTAGCATTTCCTGGCATCTTGTAGCTTCTTTGTTATCGACGTGTCTGTACCTCGGAAGCGAATTATATCGAAAGAATGAAATGAAAATATTCGTTGTATTCAGACAATGACGGTCTTTTAAGCCGAGTTAATTATAAACAAAATTGTTGCAGTACTATCGAACAAATTCTGCTGTTTACCAAACGAGGGTAAAAGGAGCCGAATGATCGTTCCAACCGCGTATTGATTTTAGAGATGAATACGAAATACGAAGCATCGATGTGGTTGATTGTCGTGGAACAGCACGATGGAATGAATGTAACGTTTGTCCAAACAAATACTAACACACACGCTTCCGGTATTCATATACATCGCTGGAAATTTGTTAACGAACTCCACCGACATGCAAAATGATATTAATTAATAGCTTATTAGAGAAACGAAGAAAACACGATAAAATAGTAAATTTCAGTCACGTGCTTCGAAATAAAATCGAATCAAATTCGTTAAAGAAATACCTTTACGGGGGTCACTTCTGTCCAGATCATTTTTCAAAACTCGCGTTCGTTTTGCGATCGGCCAGAAAAATGCCCCAGCCGGTCAATATTAATTTCCGCGTAAATTCACACGCGAAATACAGAATGAAAATACGTTCGGCAATCAAAAGACAAATGCCACCGTTCGAATATGACTGCTCCGAAAATCCTGTTCGACGGAGCGTGTGTCATGCGCTCGCATTTTTCCAAAATTTTGTTACCCTTCATTCTTCCTCCGGTTTGAAACTCGTCACTGTTATCGACTGGGACGATATTTCCCGCCATCGACGTCCTAGCGAGAAATTCAGGAAAATATTACACCGTTTATTTTTAGTGCCTTCCGCTCCGTGTATTTTATATTGCATCGACTCGTTTTGAATTAGAGCGGTCGCAAATTACGTCTATTGGCGATATTGTCAGCGACAGGTCCCGCGGTAAATTCGACATGTGTTTAGAACCACGCTGGAAGGTGGTACCCCGCGACATTTCGAAACGGTGAAAACGGTTCTCTAAACGCGCGCAAACCTACCGAGAGTAGGAATTATATTCTCCTGGTTTGGTATTTATCGAAGCGAAGGTAAGGAGATTTACGAGGCTCGTTTGAATAAACAAAGTCGGCTGAGGCCTTGTCGAGTAAATCGTCGAAATCATCCTACTTTCTACAAAAAAATTTTCAAAGGTGCTCGAATAAAAATTTGAGTCCGGTCTTGGAATAAATAAAGCCTTCGCTGGATTAAAACGAACGTTTGTTCATCCTGGGTCTCTCGGTTGTTCGAATCCAAGCTAACTATAGACCAACAGGCTTAAACGATTCATCAGTGTTGCGTACAAAATTGTTTCCACTATGAAATGCGGCGTCTAATTACAGTTGCATACCCCGTAGGCAAAATTAGTGCCTTGCGTAGTAAGTTTCCATGTTTGGCGACAGCCTCTTAGGAGTCTCGAGAAACAATGGTAATTCGTGTCATTGTCTTCCAAGCATCTCCCGAGACGCTAAAAGAGGAAAAAAAATATCCTTTTTCATTCAAGTACCTCCCAAGGGCTGCGATCTCGCCCATCTCGTTTACTGAAAATTTTTCCCAGTTGCATCTCGTTAACATTCAGAAAGATTAATTCGATTGGTCTACCATTTAACGCGTTTCATATTCATGATCGCAAAACAGCTCAGTCATAATTCATTTCCGCAGCGATAAATATTCTAATAAGCACACAGCCGCGGGAGTAATTTCTTGAAAATTATAAATTAATCCCCCGCAATTTTCACCGTCAAATACGTATTATCAATTAAATGTTTGATTGATCGTGATGATAGCGACGCGACACGACGCAACGAATTGACATTATTTCCACTCGCAAATGTTTCCCTTACGTTTGATATTCGATTGCAATTACCGTTCGATTGACGACACTCGTTATGGTAGATTAAAATTGATTTCGAACTGAAATTTCCATCAATTGATCAATACCAAATAACGATGGTATTTTGAAAAGAAATTTGTAGACTTGCACTTAGTTAGACACTGATAGTGCAAAATGGATCCTATACAATTCGATAATGTAACATAAAACATAAAATACCGTGAATGTATTACTTATTAATATTACAGTCGTCGTATCTCTTCGCAAACTATCGAACGAACCTTGTCGGTACTCTAACCATCGCTCGTTTGATTCTTTCAGACAAACGGTAACACCTCTGCCCACGGTATCGTCCGTATCGCTCAATGAAAATGCTGCAACTCGTTCGACAGTACTCTCTGCGATGTCTAAAGTCCACCGAACGCGAAGACGATGATCGCGAAAGACGATCGTGATACGCAGCTCGAGGAGCGTCGGCGAAGCTCGAATAATTCGCAATCAGGATGGTGATAGCGAGCGAGTCCAGCGCCGAAACCATGTCCAACACGGCTGGGAAGCTGAGGAGGTCCCGCAGATTGTCGTCGACCAGAGGTCTGAAGGTACGCGCGAGTGCAAACACCGCTGGACAAGCGATACCGCGACAAGATCTGAATCAAAAGCTGGGTCTGTGCCCCATAGTTAGTAGGAACGTGGCCGCTACAAAGGGACGGTCGGCGATCAATTGGGAGTTGAACGAGAGGATCAGCCTGAGCAGCGGTTCCAGCACGGGTCTGTCGGTTCGTCCGGACGTCAGAAAGGGGATCGAGTTTAGCGAGAATCGCAGGAAGCCGGGGATCGATGGGACGAACGACGACGGGAACGAGCGTCGCGAGACCAGAAACGTCAAGGCCAGCCTAGAGCTTATGAACGTGTCGGGGTTTCGACAGGACCCGGAGAAGAAACGTCGTGGCTCCTGGTCGATCGACGTGGACGTGATCGAGCGATCGTCGGAGGAAGCGAACGTGATCAAGAGTGACTCCAAGTACGAAATCGGAATCCCAGGCGACGGCTCGTCCGCCAGGAAGCCAAAGCAGAGGAGGCAGCTGCCAGGCGTCGCGAAGGCTCAGAAATCCGCGAAGAACGAGGACGAGGAGGCCGCTAACCGATGGGGCAGGAAGAAGGTCGATAAGACCAACGACTCGATCACGAAGAGATTGGAGCTGATTCACGAATTGAATCAGAAGATCCTCGCGAATTACGAGCGATTCCAGCAGAAGTCGAAGCGAAAGGAGGGAAAGGAGAGCACCGAGGTTGTTCCGAAAGACCAAACAGGGAGGAGTCGTGCGGGCTTGGACGATGGAAAGGAATCCAGGAAGGAGGATCGCGTCTATGCGGAACCGAAGCGTAAGAGCAGGACGAAGGCGGAGTGCGTGGTCCAGAAGTGCCAGGACTCGCTCAGACAGCGAAAGCTGGACATCAACAAGTTCACCTTCTCCAAGGACCACTGCGAGAAGCTGACGGGATCGAAGGATCGCGGTGACGCGTCGGACAAGAAACGCTCGACGAAGACCCTCTCGAAGTCGAGGATTCTCCCCGATAACGAGAACTTCATCATGGCAGTGAAGCCTGGCTTCCACGAGCCGAGAAACGACAAAGGCGGAGCGGTTGCGAGAAACGAATACTCGTCCAGGTCGAGGAAGGACGAAAGAAGGACCTCTGTCTTTTACGCGAACGACTCGTCGGGGAGGCACGTAGGCGCTGCGATCAAGGACGAGGAGGATTGCCTGGGGAGCTCCAGATTGTACCCGGAGACCTACTCCAATCGCTCTAACGAAGCGAAAATCGATGACGAGGGGGATCGTCCTCGGTGCACGTCGAAGGTATCGGCGAATAAGGACGAAGAAGCTCGCGACACGATCAATGGAACGCAGGGAGATGAGAACAGGGACGCCGGCAGGCCTGTCGAAGGTAGCGAGAGCCCAGCGATCGATCAGACAACAGCGTTGGAGAACGAGATCCTGGAGAATCTCGACGAGACTATCGAGAGATTCGATAACGAAAAGACGGGCCAGAACGGAGCGGAAACGTCGGGCGAGAAGATGGACAGCTTCAGCAGCGATTCGATACAAAACGACAGCCCTTTATCGGGGAGCAGAAGCCCGAAAGTGGCCAGGTTGCAGGAGACGTTTAATTCCTCCTGGGATTCGGGAGTCGGCGTGGACGTGGGTACAGGAAGCGGATGGGTCAGGATACACACGGGAATCGAGAGCAGCCTCGTCTATCTTACTCTGGATACCACTGCTAAAGACGTCTGCAGGGACATGCTGTTAGGAGACGACTTGTCTCTGTTTATTCAGGTAAGCGAGCTCGCGAACTTCCGTGGCTAATTATTCATTTGATTTACGACGCAAAGGTTACGTGCGGAACCTAACGAGGGAGTCGGACATACTAATGAGAGGAATGTTCAGCGACGGCGCCGCCGCCCGCTTTTATGATGAACGACGCCGGGCGTCGGATGTCTTTGGACTCGGCTACACGTACCGCGCGACGGGGAGGTATCTTGAATAATTTCGCGACGAAACGCCGGAATTTTCTACTTCTTGCGAAACGAGCTCGACGGATTACACGTCCGACGAGGAGAGGACGCGACCGAATGCTCGTGGATCTTGCAAGGCTTTCGCATACGTGAATGTATCGGGTTTTTGGTGAAAAATTGAAGGGCTTTTTTAAAAAGGGAAAATCGAACAACTACCTTTACGCTGGCGAAAAGTGTTAGAAATGGAACTATGGTAGAGATAAATCGAAATATTAGATTGTCCCAAAAGTTTCTTTCGCGAGTTGCATTCAATTATTTTCTCTGGCGGTGTTTATATAAATAGACGATCTAATTTCTTAGACATTGATGCTGTAACCTAATGACAACCTAATGAAATGCATCCGTAGTAATTCCGTCGATCGGTCTGAATGATCAAAGAATTTTTATGGGGTCGTCGACGACTAATTTGCAAACAAAGGTGTCACGGTTTCCCGGCGACGCAGCTTTGAAGTTTCGACGAACACAAAGCGAAACGAAACGCGATAAGAAAGCGCGATTTCGAGGGAAAGATGAAACAGGGGAGAAGGACGACGATCCACGAGAAAATGGAACGGAGGACAGGGAAGAGAAACGCGAGGAAAAAATGCGATGGGTTTCACAGAGGGATATCCCCGCTGGCTTTATCGCGTGCTCGAGCATTAACGACGTCTGCGACAGAGAGAACAGGAAATCCTGGCGAACCGCGAAATCTCTCTGTGAAGGGATAAGTCGCGCGATTTCGTTTCGTCATTTTCGCGAGACCGTAGTGAAGAGGCGAGCTATCGTTCTCGCAGCGAACAAAGGATACGTGTAATTTACATTCACTGTCATCCTCGCTGAAAGGAACTCGTTCGATACCGGGGACTATCGAAAGGAGGCTCGAATCTTGCCCATTGGAACCGAAAGAAATTTTCAGAGAGAATTTCACAGGTTTTTTTTAATCATTTTCAGTCATGTTTTCGTCAGTCTTCGCCCCTTCGCCGGAGCGCAATATATCTGCGAACTTTACTTGGCGATCGAATTTCAATCAAATATTATCGAGAAGAAGGAATTTTCGTGTAATGGAAATAGGTTAAAGAAGCTTTTTTATTGTACGACCAAGTCGGGAATCTGAGAGCCAACCGTAAGTATTTATTTAAAGAAAGAAACAGCGAGACGGTTGTCCAATTTTGACTAAGAACGTAGAAAGGAACAGGTTCAATTTGATTTAATTGGCCACCAGTAGACTCCGGATGTTTATGCATTAATGGGGCATGAAGATACGGGAAAATGTATAAAATACATCAAATACCAACACCTAAATACAATACATAAATTTTTCGTTCGTATCTATAAAAACACGAGTTTGCATAAACATTCGCAGTCTAGTCGTCGTAATGAACAAGTCCACGATCGATACCGAACATGGCAAGTATTCCACTTAACGACTTGCACACAGTTTTCAAAATGTGATTGGTTCCCGAGTTTAATTCCCGAAAGCGTTTCGCGTTATCTGGACTGCGCGAATTTTAATATCGTCCAAGTAGCTTTAATTCCGCTAACAAAACAACCAGGGCACGAGAGCACTTTGTGCGTCGGGGTTCTTGCAGATTTTCTGTTTGGTGGGGTCTCAGTGCTCTCGAACCAAGGGTGGTATTTGTAAAGCAATGCAGGCTCGAGTTGCTTTTATTAACTTTCTCCTTATACATTCGCCGGGTAGTATGTATATTGGAAACGTGATCGTGCCGAATCTCCGATAACCAATAATATCGTCCCTTTGCGTTTCGGGTCACGCTAAAACAGATATTCAACGAGATTAAAGATTCTAGTCGGGATTCGATTCGTTTCAACCGTGAAAATGTATTCTTATTTCCCCTGTAACGCCTAAACGAGTCGGAGGTACTTCTTTTTCCTTCGGTTACGAAGAAAATTATTCAGTGGCATATTTCACCGATTCGAAATTAGTGCTGCAAACCGTTCGCGCTCTCTGTTTTACCTGGATCCACTTCGTTTGGAACCGATCAGTTTCACTAATTTCGAATCGATTGCGTCCGTGTGCGTTCGGCCTAAGCGTCTGAAGTAGTCTGAACCAAGGTTGGCCCGCAGTTCGCTATCCGAGTATTCGAACAGAATCGCGTCTCTTTCCGCGATTGCTATCGCGGCTGGTCGAATTGTTTCTTGCTATCAACCTTACAAGAACCGTCCTCCGACTCCGTGCCAAAACAGACCTCTGTGCGTCGAAATGAAAGCAACGGCGCGGTCGAAACCGCGTAAAAAGGGAGTTCGAAAGGCTGGCAGGGGGTCTCGTCGAGTTGCTTGCCTTTCTCGCCCCACCGAACCGATTTCGCTGTACAAACCCCGAAACTTTCCACCCCTTTCCGTGGCCGGATGAAGAGCGACCTTGTATAATGAGTACGACGCGGCCTGCCTTCTCAAAGATAACGAGGTACGCGCCAGTAATCAAAGGAGGCTAAGACCTTAAACAGCAGGCAACCTCTCGAAAGAAGCCCCGGATGCAACTACTGGCAAGTACTCGAGTCGAACCCCATGTACGGAAAGTCCACAATAACGACACCGATGGACTTCCATTTTCTTTTATTTGCCTCTTATACTACCGTACTGTAATTAATCGGTTGGAGTCCAACCGGTCTCCAAATGTAAATGTAATAGTTACGCTGTATCTACAAAAATTGAAACCTGCTGAGAAATCTTCGTGGACCTAGTGTTAATTAATTCGCTATCAGCGTCCTATTAGCAAACTTTTTTGAACCAGAGATCGGAGTCTGCATTTACCAGTCACTTTTTCATGTCACTTCTTCCCCCCCCCCCCCCTCTCTCCCTACCCCCACCCACCATCCCACCGTTCGTTCGTTTTTCCCTTTTTCGTCGCGCAAAATGCTACACCGTCGGGCGAAAAAAGATTTAATAATTATTGGAATTCCATCCGCGGAATGAGGGAATAAAACCGCGTCACGGTCGGCCATTTATCTGTATCATTCGTGCGGTTGATATCTAAATGAACCGCTTTTACGCTCGCGTGAAACTAAATCGAAGTTCCGAGCTCCTCTGGTTCGTTTTGCCCGGACTGGAGTTCCCGTCCCCTTCTCGTTTTCCACGGTTAAAGGGGGTGACGTGACGGATATTTTTAAGATCATTTGTTATCCGATTTAAGCGGCGAAACGCTGACGCTTTTTGCGCTTATTGAAACCCGTTCAAAGGAGGGCCGGGTTCAGACTGATGCGGGTTTAATTCGAACTGGTAAATCGACGAAGACCGATTCTACCGAAAGATCGATCGCGATGAAATTGAGAAATCAGCTGAAATTCAGGGAATCGTAGGTGTTCGTTTTACTAGGAAAAGGTACGATCTTTCTTTGGATTGATGAAGAATCGGACTTGTTGCTTTTTCATGAAAAAAAAAAAGATCTAAAATGGGAACCGAAGGTTGCTCGAACAATCGGTTGCAATATTTGCAAATACATAGTCTCTAAACGTTGTCTAATATTTTACCTTCGACGGAATCGCTTAAATTACGAACGTTATCATCATCGTATGTATATCACGATCCAGCTGTCTGAGGTTTCGTTTATTTCGAACGTGTGATTAAATCGTAATATAATCAAATTTTCCACTTTTAATAATTACTTTTTATCTTCCACGAATCGTCCATTATTCTCCGCGTGGGAGCTACGCGACGGTCGTTATAATTATTTTAAGTTTAGTATACGAGAGCTTTTACATTTATCTGGTAACGCATCAAGTTATAACGACCCGAGCATAAAATTCCGCTCTATTTGCATAAGCCGTTATTGCGCGTCGTTATAAACTATTATAATTATTGTGCGCGACGCGCGATTCATTTTTTAGCTCGGGATCTCGTCGCTGAAAATGCGCGTGTATCGCGGACCGCGATATTTCAACATTACCGTCAGCAGAAGCGGGGAGTTTTATTTTCGCGCGATTACAAATTATCGGGATAAAGGCACTTTGAGCGTTCCTTTAATTCGAGCAACATTCGTATAACGAAATGGCGCGAAAGAGTAAAATTTCGAGAAATTCTTCTCCTAGAAATTGCTTTTTAAGTAACGATAATTAGGGGGAAATGAAAGACACAGCGTAGAGATTTATGAAGGAAATACACGATATTAAAATAGCATTTTGTAAATCAAGGTAAACAAGTCGTTTTTTTCGTAAAGTGTTAGGAAGCCTCTTCCCCTGTTCGATTCGTTTTATTTTTCATCGATTCGAAATCCGATTTAAATATATTTAGGATTGCCAAGCATTACGTAACTTAAGAACGAACGAATCGAGAGCGAATATTTTCTACAAGGAATTAACACGGAATTCAGGTGCAACGCGCATCCTCGCGACGGAAGCTTCCGTTTCGCGCGTTGACAGTACATTTCGAGCCCTTGACAGGCTTGACACGTCAAGCTCATTCGTCACGCCCCTAGTATGCACCGCTGGAGGATATATATGCCAGGACTTGCAAACTTGCGTCTCGATCGTGACGTACTTTCTCTTCATTTGGACGCGAAATTCGTCGATGAGCAACCATCCCGTCGGCTGGCTGTTCTATTACTCTTTCATGCCCGACGATGACGCGCGTTGATAAAATTGTCAGTTTGAAAACGGGGAGCTTCGAGTCTGCGGAATATCGCGGAGTCTGGCCAGCATAGTTTTTTTTTTTTTTAGAAAAAGTTAGTATCGCACCGCAATCCACGAGTTTCGACGATGAAAGAGTAAAAGAATTTCTTGTTCGGAAAGTTTGCCGATAAATAACTGATTTGGTTGAGTTGGACCG